TATTAAATTTAAGATTAAAAAAAAATTTATTGTGAGATTATAAAATATGGTATTGTGTCCCGATAGGAACAAATATATCCAGTAACAATCACTTTTATACCAATCATCAACAATGGCGTGGACAAATTATCAACGTACATTAGCTATACTTCAAATAATTACAGGCTCATTTAATACTTTATCAGTTAAGTAAGTGCATTTAGTATTAGTACAAAAAAATTTAATGAATTATGGTATAGAGGAAGCATATATTAATGAATCTCATAAATAACATTAATTTTGTACATATTGAAGAGAGAATTTGACTTTCAATTTGTTTAGGTACGCAGATCGACAAGTGGTACTTGGAGAAGATAAGCAACTTAGGCATTTTAATCATCCTTTTATGCAATCGTTATTTATGTTTATTGGAGAGGCTCTTTGTTTCTTGGCATTTAAAATCTTTTATTATTATTATAATCGACGAGCTGTAGGTATCTATGATCTTCGTTTCTCATAGATGAATTGAGCTTATTATTTATGGTATGAATATGTTTGCAGGATGGTTCTGTAGATAACAATGTACTCACTAAGGGTTCGAGGATTTTTAATCCTTCCATTTTACTTGTACCTGCATTGTGTGATATGTTTGCGACATCCATAATGTATATTGGTCTGAACATGACTTATGCAAGTAGTTTCCAGATGTTACGTGGATCAGTAATCGTTTTTACAGGAATGCTTTCTATTGGATTTCTTAATAGAAAATTAGGAATAAGGGAATGGATAGGCATTGGTTTTGTCATAATAGGCTTAGCATTTGTCGGTGCTAGTGATATATTAACAATGGGAGATAGTGATATCAGTGTAAATTCTGTAATCACCGGAGACTTGCTTATTATATTTGCCCAGGTACATTTTTTATTATTATCAACTTATTGTTACATTGGGTTCATCAATTGAAAATTTATTCATTTTTTTATAAACAAGTTTTTAACATGTCTAACAATTGATTCTTATTCTATAAAGAGACTTTCGACAATTTGTCTAGTAGTATATAATGTAAATTATTTTAAAGTAATGCCATCAAACACACAATTTTCTCATTATCAACTTTGTCAAAAGCTTTCTAAATCATAAAATATCTTTCAAAAATTTTTGGCATAAAACTGTAAGTTAATTTTGAATTGTCTAAATATCTACAGCACCTTTTAGACAGCGCAAATCTTTTCTTGGGTAACCATTTTGGTCTTTAAAATATAATATAATAAAAATGTATTTCACTTTTTCATTTTTAAGTCTGTATTATGTGAATATAAATTAATGATTTTATACTAAACAATTAAAGATACAATAAAATGCCAAATTAAACAGAATTTTATAGATAAGGTCAAATTTAGAATAAAATTGGTAATTATATTGTTAATTATTATGGGAAAGCTATTTACTTAGGAAATAAATGAATAAACTTTCTAATCAATTCAGTTTATAAATCTCTTTAAAGAGAGCTGGCAATTATAGTTATGACTTAATTACATTTGCATAATTTACGATATTAAATCGTGCACTAATGTGTATATTTACTATCGCAAAATAATTTCCGAGTTTCAAATGTATAGGTAATAACAGCTGTTCAAATGGTTGTGGAAGAAAAATATATGATGGAACAAAATATTCCTGCATTACAGGCGATTGGATGGGAAGGTCAGTACATTTCATGTTTTTCTCATATAGTATCTGTCATTGTGATTCAAACTCGATATTGATTATCATTCTTATTTATTATAATATTTATACTCTTTTGCAGGTATCTTTGGATTTATCGGTATTTTTATTGCTTTGATTCCTCTAAATTACATTACTGCGCCACCGCCTTTTGCTGACAATTCACGCGGGACACTTGAAGCCTCTGTGGAAGCTCTTGTCGAAATTGGAAGCAGTAGTAAATTATTGATAGCTATTATCGGTCAGTTTATCTTTTCTTTTCTCTCCCTGTTTGTAATTGTCGGCTTTTATTATATGCTATTATTTGGCGTTACAGGTATATCGTTTAGTATTGCTTTCTTTAATTTTGCTGGTATTAGTGTTACCAAAGAGATGAGCGCTACGACGAGGATGATTTTAGATAGTGTCCGAACGATCTTAATATGGGCTTTTTCTTTAGCGTTTCAATGGCAAGTCTTCCATTACATGCAGGTATGTGATTAGAGATTATGCATATATAATTGAAATAGTTACTATTAATAAAAAAAAAATATATATATATATTTCAACATAAAAATAATTTTTGTTACAGCTCATTGGTTTTACGATTCTTTTAATCGGTATGGCATGTTACAACAACATCGTTATTCCGCAATTATTTCAAAAATATCTATACCGTCTGGGACGCCATACATTAGCTGACGAAGATCGTATTATTAATACCGCCGCAGATGATTTGCCAGAAACAATATGAGTCTATGCAATTTGGATATTTCATGCCGCGCAATTATCACTAGTATTAATTTCTTTTTTTTTTGTTATTAAACGATAACTATTTTAACAAGATCTATGGTATGACGATTCGACAGTCATGCATAATCATAATTACAATTTCTTACTTACCTCTTTTTTTATTATTACAATTATATATAAAATAATCATACATGTCTTTATTTCTGTTTGTGTAACTCATGGAGTATAAAGTTTAAATTAGATAAATACAGAGCTAGATTTATCCATATATAATGTAATAAGTACATATTGTGTATATTTTAATATATATTTTATTACGTTGATATGAAAAATGAAATAAAACATATTTATTATTAAAAAATGTATGGTATATTATGCCTTTTTTATTATTATAATTATATATATATAAAATCATACATATCTCTTTATTTCTGTCTGTATAAATCTAATAAAATTTGTGTATGATCCAAAAATAATATTTCAACTAAAATTTCGTTTTTATTTATAATAAAAAGTCATTAATTTCCTCTCTCATACTTTTTAAGGCTAATCTTTGTTGAATAGCAGATAATAATGGCATTGGCAAGGTACTTAAAATATCTGAATTTCGAAATATCAACCTGCAACTATAACAGAGATACCTCCAAACATCCTCCGCAGTTATTTTTCTTTTCTTACAACCACACTCAGTATTATCATTACAGTATATTTTATCATCTAAACATAGAATTGTACTATTCGATTCTTCCTTTTCTTTATTACTAGAAGTCCTTGTCTCAATATTTGAAGATATCAATCTGGAAATTTCAATCGCCCTCACTGCAGATATTTGATCACTAGAAGATGTAGCATCCAATTTTGCATCACACAATACACAATTATCTTCTGCATTTTGCTGTGCATTGATTCTCGGACTTATTTTTTCGGCTGTACGAAATATAGTGGATACTGTCCCGGAAAATTGAGATTCTAATCCTGTCGTGAAGTTGTGCGCTAATGCCTGTATAGAAGTTGCTGGTGCTGTCACATTAGATTCTTTCAATTTAACAGATTTTATCTTATAATGTTGTGAATAATATACCAGTTCCTGCTGTGTGAAATTTCTCAACGGTTTAAGTATCTTGATGTCACAACGAGCATCACAGAAGTTTGCGAGCAGAGAAAGTTGCGCACCTCGTCCTAAACATATATCACCCAGCGCTTTTGTGGCAATATCTATAGCAGAATCTGCTACAAATATTTTATTACAACCCAGTTTTTGTGCTGTCGATACAAGCAATCTTCGTCGTAATTGATTTAATAGATCTATTCTTGAAGTATTATCTGGTAAATTGTCCAATATTGTATGTAGATGATCCTCGTGTTCATGGTATATTTCTCGACAATCAATCGGTTTTACTTCCAAGGTATCTTCTTTGCTTAAAACTTGATGCAATGATATAACATAACCATTAAATCCCGAATCTTCTATTTCTTTAGCAATTTTGTATTGCAGAATTTTTCTTTCGTCAATTGTTCTTCCCATTATAGCACCATCTGAAGAATCTTTTATGAGCTCAAACTTGAATAAACACAATACAAAATTGACTTATATGAAACTTACCATCTATATATAAAACTATCGTCTTGAAGATGATCTTTTTATGGGCAGACTCGCTCATACCAGATTTAATAAGATGCAAAAGCACAGTGGAATTTAATTCACCTGAGTGATCAACCAATATTGAATCACCGTGGTGAATAATCTTTGATTTACCAAGCGCAGCTCTAAACTTATGATTTGTAATAGTTAGAAAACATGTTTTACAATATCCACTTTGGCCGATTAATAATACATCAATATTTTCACGCCTGCATTTTCTGCACAGTGTTATATTCCTGCAAAAAAAATATAATAGTAAAAATAATAATAATAAAAATATATTAATAATAGAATATATAGATAATATGATAGAATATGATTTTTCTTTTTGTTTAGTTGTTATCTATTATTATTTAAAACTGTACTAACGTTAATGAATCTTTTGCGTTCTTATTTATTTCCTCATTGTTACTATCATATATACAATCATTTAGCGAACACATGTTTATTTTTGCGATCTATCACAAAAATATTTTACTATTTACAATTACAATTTACAATTATTAGTTACAAACTTGTTCACTGGTTTACAGATTCTGTAACAAAATTGATTTTTTAGAATACAGCATGTGTATGATCGATCACGTGGTCCATGGTCCTCGCCATTAAAACGACTCAACTCGAAAAACTACAAAATTTGGAAAGCATATTGGTGCCATATTAGCGCACGATTGAAAGATGTGGTTCTTCTTTTTTGCAAAATATTTTTATTTCTATAGCAGAGAATAATATCTCGCTTTTTTATCTGCATTTTATCTATTATCAATGCAGGTAAATTATAGTATATATCAGCAGAGAGAAGCCTGAGAGGGATCATGCCACCGTTTTTCGTAACATGCTTTTTCTAGCTGATGCAGTAGCGCCAACTGGATCCATTTTAGAACCGGCGAAACTACATGGCCAGAATCACTTTATACCGTGCCACGGTAAAACAGCCGGTTGGTGCGTGTCCGTGCTAAATCCATAATTGTGAATAAAAAATGTGGAGAAATATTATGGAAACACTATCGTATGCAAACGCACGCATTTAACGCGCGCTATAACGCATGACAACGCGTGCATGGAAACTAGGGGTTATTAATGTTTTATTAGCTGCGCATGATGTTTTGTCGTTCTAATACCCAGACAGCACAAAACGTCCTCAGGATCATCCTGAATATGTCCAGGATGGTTCAGGATATTACGGCCAGCGATAATAAGTTTTATTATTGAAATATTTTTATATAATACCCACATATGTAAAATAATAAAACAAATTTTCTTTATAATTGTTTTCCTGATTTTTAAATATAATTATGTAGAAAATATTTACAATAAATTGCTTTCACTTTTTTCTTATTCTTAAAAGAAAATTATCAAACATTTTAAGCAATATCAAATTATGCTTTTAATTTATATAGCTTTTTATAATTAATTATGTTATGCCTCGGGTGAGGCATGGGATAATTCGGGATCGTTGCCGGATTAGGATTTAGAAATCCGGGATTCGTCTATCGGCTTACCCGTAGAATTAACTCGTAGATTTTCAATAAAGTTTTTATTCACTCTCAAATAGTCTTGGTTATAATCTTTTCACGATAACACTATCTAACCCGTGTCGCGTGTCGCGTTAACAGATACCTTCGCGTGCGCGTGTCCGGAGTCGAGTTTATGTCGCGGGACTCATTTCTCGATCTCTGTGATTTTATTATGCTTGACTGCTCGATATTATAAGTAATAATAATTATCATTTCGCGCTGTTAACACTTGCGACTATTCGGTATATATTGACAATACTGCCCGCTCAATATTAATTATGATTGAGACTGCCCACCTCTCGTTCGAGGTGGGTAGTTTTATTACCTCCTGTTCGATTAGTTTTTCGGAGGGAATAGCTTAGCGATAGGACCATAGGTGGTCGTGTCGCTCGTTTTCGGATGGAAAAGACCCAGATGCAAGCTAAGGAAAGCCAAATTTCTTTGCTTGCATTTCCAGAGCATCGTTCTTCAAACCTTCGCGATCGCGTGGCTTCCGCGCGTGGCTCGCTTTGTCAGCGTTTGCGCTCGTAACTCTATACGCCTTCCTCGGCTTCAAGTTATACTCAGAAGGCGTGTATTAAATAATATTTAATAATTAATAATTAGTAAAATTATAATAATTTGGTTATAGTCGTTTTGGGCTATAACATCTCTCCCCCGTTAAAAAAGAAAAATGGAGGTGCGAAAGTGACGTTTCTCGCAAAAAAAATTATTTTTCTTATTCTAATGGATACAATATTTTTCCCGTATATAATATTCGATATAATCGTTTCTTATTCTAAAATCGTATGCTTAGACTACGTTTTAATATAGGTTTCGGGAATCCGTAGGATATACGTGGTTCTTCCTCGTATATCCTGACCAATGGTCATTTTGCCCTTTTGTTTTTATTTTTTATAATTATATAAACTATTATTTCATTACTTATTTCCGCGTAAGTAAATATATTTTTGTAGTCGTAAGTAGGTAGTGTGGGATTACCTTTATTATATCATACACTGGTTGTGAAATTAGTGGAAAGCGCAATACAGTAAATATGATTGATCCTTCACATAGTTATTTTAACATATTCTTCTAATGCTAACCATTCATCGTTTCGGATTTCGAAAGGGAAATATAAGCCGTGAGGTAATTGAATAGCTGCTTCTTTTAAGTGTGTTATGATATCGCTGATAGGTGTTAGTACGGTATGCATTGTGCCCTTGCGTACATACGTAAGATATTTTATTACATCTTCCGCGTCTCGAATTAAATCTGTCATCATCGCGGTGATTACAGTTAAATGTTCGGTTATTTCTTTGTGAGTATTATATTCTCGAACATAATGATTTAATAATTTGCCGTTATGATCTAATATATTTTCTAATTTGTTTAGATGTACTATTGTATTATTTAAGATTTTTATTTGATTTTTCGCGACATGTTGCTGGTTATTTTGTAAGAGGTTTAACTGTTCGTTTATTAATTCTCTATCGTTTGCATCCATTGTCCCTGTTGTGCCTCTAGCCGCTAAGGAAGAGGTCTTTAGGGATTTATACGCCCAAAGGATTAGGATCCACGCTCGAAATAAGACACTCCCGGACGTTAGGTATAAATTAATGTATTCGTAAGATATTTTATTACTTCCGCGTCTCGAATTAAATCTGTCATCATCGCGGTGATTACAGTTAAATGTTCGGTTATTTCTTTGCGAGTATTATATTCTCGAACATAATGATTTAATAATTTGCCGTTATGATCTAATATATTTTCTAATTTGTTTAGATGTACTATTGTATTATTTAAGATTTTTATTTGATTTTTCGCGACATGTTGCTGGTTATTTTGTAAGAGGTTTAACTGTTCGTTTATTAATTCTCTATCGTTTGCATCCATTGTCCCTGTTGTGCCTCTAGCCGCTAAGGAAGAGGTCTTTAGGGA